CAGGAAGAAGGTGTGTTTCTCTCTTTGCTGGTTCGAGTTTGCTGTTGGCGGCCGCCATGAACTGCAGCCCAGCCATGCCTGTCTGTCTTGGAGCCAACTGAGTGTGGACTGAAACCTCCAAAAACTGTAAGAAATAAACCTTTCCTTTCCCAGCCTTGGGCTTCAGGTATTTTGTCTCAGCGACGAGTAAAAAGTAAGTAAGACAGATGCTGAGCATGACGACCCACCCCTGTAATCCTAGCACTTAGGAGGCAGAGGCAAGAGGATCTATTTGAGTTCAAGGCCATCCTGGGGTACCTAGTGAGTTCAAGGCCACCCTCCAGTGGACCACATAGAGACTCTGTTTTATTTTATTTATTTTTGAAACATCTTGTTTTAAAAAAAAAAACAAACAACAGCAATAAGTAGGGCTAATAAATAATAACAGAACTATTTGAGTCCATGATTCCTTATTTATACAGAGAGTTGGCTCTACCCAACTTGCAGAGATACAGTGAATGCTAGACAGGGTAACTCACACGTGAAGTACCATAGTGCATGGCTCACGGTGGGCATTGTCTCTATTTGGGTTGCTACACCACAAATACTGTAAACTGGCAGCCTACAAACAAGGACTTAGTCCTCATAGTTCTAAGGCTGGGCAGAACGAGATTGAAGTGTGAGCAGGTTCAGTGTCTGGGAAGACTCTGTGCCCAATTCTCACACAGTGGAAGGGGAAGGTGGCTCTCTGGGGTCCTTTTCACAAAGACACCCATCTCCTTTATGAGGACATTTTCTTGTGACATGTCACCTCCCAAAGGTCCACTACCAGGTATTACATTAGGATTAGGTTTCAACATAGGAGTTCTGGGAGGATGTGAACATCAGTCTAGAGCAGGCATGTAATAAATTGTGGTATTAATTTTATTATTAGCAGGGGCTGGGGGTTTAGCTCAGTGGCATAAGCGCCTGCCTTGCAAGCAGGCAGTCGTGAGTTCGATCCCTGGTACCGATAAAAACGAAAAAGACAAAAAAATAAATAAATAAATAAATAAATAAATAAATAAAATTTTATTATTAGCATAATCATCTTTTGTCTTTGTAACTTTGGTGATCAGGATTGTTCTGGTCATTCTATTCATTCTGCAAAAGGAAACCAAGGGGCCAAAAAATGTAGTCAATATGGGTAAACGATAGCGATAAGCTATCCAGACACTAGAAAGTGACCATACAAATGGGAAGTGTCAGATAAAGCAATGGAAGAAAAATCACAAAGAAAAAAGTAGCTTTAATTAAAAATATTTCAGGCGAGGATGTAGCTCAGTGGCGTAAGTGCTTGTCTGGCAAGCACAAGGTCATGAGTTGAATCCCTAGTACCAAAAATATAAAAAATTCAATTCCTACATGCAAAAATTATAAAATTTAAAAACAAATATTGAGAAATTAAAATATGCTAATCAAATACCTACCATGTAAAGAACTAATATACATCAATAAGAGAAACTGTGCCACCTCACATAGCTGCAACAATGTTTTTATAAAGGGTTAAACTGAGAGACTGAAAAGTCATCACAGGCTGTGGGTCAGCTGGGGTCTGCTGGAATGTGGCCAGGCTCCACTGGGCTTTGCTCCAGATGCAGGCTGAGCCCAGGTCAGCTTTACGTTTCTGCATTTAGACACCAAGCTAAAGAGCAGCGGCTACTTAGATACATGGTTATTTGCAACTTTTTGAAGTAGACTAGACAGTAGACTTAGTTAGGATGTCATTCTTGGCATAATGTGCTAATTAAAAGAGGATCTTCTGAGCCATCCAAGGACAACTGGAGAAAGAAAACAGTAAGTTCCGAAATGTGGGTGATTTTTACAACAGAAGGTATACAAGAACATTTTCAGTTTGGAGGTTCAGTTGCGGAGGTTCATCTGTGGGATTTCGTAAGGCTTTTCACAGCAAAGCACTTGGCAAGGCTAATTAGCAGAGAAGAGCAAAAAGGTGAAAATAAAATAAGGGAAGAAAATGAGAAGAGGTGAGCCTAACAGAGAATGGAGTGATGGAGTCACTGAGAACTGCTCCCCAAAATAAAGACAGATGACAGGACACAGAGAGGTGGACTCTGTGGAGGTGGAGAGGGCATCCGGGAAGGGGAAGACAGCAGAGGAAGGACGGGAGGGGACGTGAAAAGGCTTAAGGTGCCATATGTGTAGTCTGGGCTTACAAGGAAAACAACTTAATACAGGACACACAATTTACAGGATTATTGTATAATATTCACCAAAGAGTCAAATGCAGAAGCATACGAGCAATCTGTCCACACAGTAGAGACCCAAAGAATCCTGCTGAGGGCCTGGATCCCATGGCAATGTCCTCCATGAGTCCAGCTGGAGGCCTACAGCCCACAACAATGTCTCATGCAAGTCTGTTTCATGGATCTGTGCTGGGAAGGCCCAAAGGTGAGTGGTGGAAGCTAGAAAGTCTGCACCAGTGGGATGGAGGGTCTGTGCAGTCGGCTGAGGGATCTGCACTGCAGCCAGGAAGTGATGTTCAAGGTAAAGACCAGAGCTCCCCTGGAAAGAACTGTAACCATCCTCAGTGACAGTGAGGTCCTGAGCTCCTTTAAGGGTGAGAACAGCTGAGTTCATGTTGGGGCAGCCAGAGTGACAGGCTTCTCAGGAGAATCAACAGCACACCGTCTTCCCCTCCAATTCTTCTTTTATGCTGATGGCTACACTCCTCAGGTGGGCCTTCCAGATCCAGCACCACCTGACTCAGTTGAGCTGGGAGTTACAAGTTGACCATTAATTAATCCACTACATATATGTACTAATTCCCCACGAGGAATGTATTTGTTACGAATATATGTTAAAAAAAAAGATCTGCTTGGCTTGGACTGCTGTTGCAACAATACAGAGACAAAGAGAGTAAAAATGAGCAATGCATTTAGTAAAGGGATGTGGAAAGTTTTTATTCCTGTGGGTCTCCAAGAAATGGAAACACCGAGTCCCTACTTGTTATGGTGATTTGGGTTTTTATGGAGTCAATAGAACAGTTGGGCTTCCCGGTCTTTAGAAACAGGTATGAGACCCAGGTTGATGGTGCTGTGGGTTTGGCAATGGGAAATTTATGCAACTCTTGTGATGTGTGATAAGATGTATGCCGTGAAAGCGGCTATTAACAGTGATTAACTTAGAAGCTGACCACCAGCACACAGAGCCATTGTCTCCATCAGTGCCCGTTTGTGATGGGCTTTGTCTGTCTGGCTTCACAGGAGACAAATGCCATTATGGAAGACCAAATAACCTTATTTAGGCAGTTGCTAGATAATAGAGACGCTCTAGGTATTAGCTTGACTGCATTAGTTTGATTTGTTACCACTGTTCACCTTGTCTTGGGCATTAATGGAGACAAAGGCCTGGAATTACCAGGAGTAGAGATAAGCCGTGGATTAGAGCCTGTGTGTTTTGAGGGAAAGAGAATTCTAGTGCAGGTTTTCATTCCATTTTCATTTTGCTTGATTTTTTTGCCCTCAAAGTTAAAGGCCAGTTTTTCCCTGAAATCATTATTGGATTTTCCCCAAATTACTAGCACTTATAATTTGAAAAATATTGCTGTTTCATTATTTCCTTTAACAAGACCAGCCTTTTAGTTTTTTGAAAATGATTTAAGGCAAAATATTGTAGTAATCTTGTACATTATCTTGGTTCTTAAATGTTCTCATATATTTATGAACTCACCATTTTTAATAGGTGTGATCAGTTTCTATAATTTAAAAAAATTAGATGCACTAGTACTGCTGATCAATATCTCTGATGTTTCATTTTTTTCCTAGATTCTATAATTTTACCCAGAATCTTTATACTCCTTAAGGAGCAGGGACTAGAAATTAAATTCTGGATACATTCTACATTCTAGACAAACATTTCTTTTTAAAATCAATTTTATGCAAAGTATTATTTGAAAAGCACTTCAGTACTAGGATTGTGGAACAGTTTCTGCACAAGAGTTGAAATCTTATCTTCAATTCAGCAGAACCTAAGGAGAAAGCTCTAATTCTGGCATGGCAAGATAGTGGAAAAATGCAGAACAAGGGGCTGGGGGTGTAGCTCAGCGAGATGAGGTGCCTGTCTGGCAAGCACAAGATCCTGAGTTCCAATCCTGGTACCCACAAATACACACACACAAAAGATATAGAACAGCAGCCCAGGGGTATAGCTCAGTGGTACAGTACCTGCCTGGCAAGTGTGAGCCCTGAGTTTGATTCCCCAGTACCAAAATACATAAATTAAAAGAAAATGCCCCAGCAAAAACAACAAATATACATGCATACATATACACATACATAGATGCTTTTGTGACGTACAAAAAGATCCATGCAGACATGGAGGGTGGTTATTTCTGAAGGACGAGGGGCATGGGGTTTTACTTTCTTTTCCTATGCTTTTGCTTAGAAAGTGCGTGATCATTTCCAGTGCCTGCTCAGAGCATATACTAAATGCAGTTCTAACCCACTTTCTCGGTCAGCAGTGTAACAAATGTACCACTGATGAGAAATCATTAAATTAGCCATAAGCCAGATGATCATCAGCACTTAAAAAAATGAAAGCAGAACACAATAAATAAACTAGAGCCGGGCTTTAGCTCAGCAGCATAAGTGCCTGCCTGTCAAGCGTGAAGTCATGAGTTTGATTCCCGGTACCAAAAATAAGTACACTAGAAAACTATTTTAAAAGTTTGCATTTATTTGCAGCTTAAATTTTTTGTGTAGTGCAATTGCAATGGTGTGAATACAAAAAGTGATGCATTTATGTCACTATTTTGGCATGATTTTTCTTAAAAAGATTCATGAATAAATCATATTATACAGTTAAACATAATCATATTTGAAAATGTGCTTGATGGAAACTAACTGAAGTAAACTGTACTCTTCTTTTCCAGGTTATTTTACTTGAAGTGCTTTGTAAATGGAATTCAGCTTGTAAAAACAGTCATAAGCTTACTGATTTTAGCATACCAATTTATTAGAGTAACTTTGTTTACTTAAAAAATAGCTGCTTTTTTCTGAAAGTGTTTATTAAAATATATAAGAAAGGTCTTTAGTGTAATTAAAAGTGCCCACATATAATATGTATCACACTACAATCCTAGTTCTTTACAATATATTTTCAGAAAAAATGACAATACTCAGACTAAATGCAAGAAAGAAAACATCACATTTTTAAACACTTGTATTTCCTTTGATCCTTCATGTTCTGCATTTGAAAGGCAGTTTCACAAGTTTAGTTTCCCTTTATCTATTCCAGGAGATTTGTGTTGAAATTTTTTTTTCGCCATTAAAAACTGTGATTCTCTGTGGGACCTTTTCAGCTTTGCCCGCCGGTTTTGGAACCAAATCTAAAGTTAAGGAAAAATAAAATAGGTCTCAGAAACGTTGTTATTCTTAATATTTCAGTCATCAAAGAGTAACAACCAAATTGAAAATTACCTGAATTCTGTCTTCCTCTAGATTCAATTTTTGAGCTAAGTCTTCTCGGATATCAATGCCAGGATAGCAGTTCACTCTAAAGACATTTTCCAATACTTCAATCTAGAATAAGAAAACAATTTTTTTTGGTACCGAACTCACAGGATCGAATTCATGACTTCACACTTGCCAGGCAGGTGTTTACTTCACTGAGCTAAACCTAGTCTCCAAGAAAACAATTTGGGGGGGGGCGGTATTTTTACCGGTACCAGGGATCGAACTCATGACTGCCTGCTTGCAAGACAGGCGCTTATGCCGCTGAGCTAAATCCCCAGCCCCGAAAACAATTTTTTTATATGTTGATATTCCATATGTCACCAAAAACGGACTTCAATTTATATAACTAAATAACTGCATTTAAATCTTAGGCAATTAATCTAAATGCCTTTGAAGCAATTACCCAGAAACTGTGAAAATATGATTCTTCATTGTTTCATTTAATATGGCTTTGAAACTGCAGTCCCAAAGCGAACGGGCTTTTGCTCAACAGGGCATCAGTTAAAGCCTTCCCTTATCAGTACTGGACAAAAAAACCTCCCACCTGGTTCTGAGTAAAAGCAGTTCTTGGTCTTCGTCCTCTATACCAACCCATCTCTCTTTTCAAAGACAGTCTTTCTGAGGTTGAAAGGTAATGTTCGTGTTTTGAAATCCTTTCTTCTGTAGCTGGGTGATCCACCACTCCGGGTACTGAGATCCCATTGGGAAGACTTGGGACAGGTAGACATAGGTTACCATCTTTCCCTAAAATCCGGAAAATAAACCCAACCTTAGATAGCCAGTTCCATGTCTTGCAAATTGCTGTTAAGAAGTCATTTCAATAACTTTTCTTTAATTTTTCTTTTGGAATCCTTCTGGGTTTCACAAAAGAACTGTCCTCTCATCAAACCAAAAACCAAACAAAAATGAAAATCCTGCTTTGGCGTAGAAAACATTTTTATTTTGTGGGGAGTGTTAAACACACACAGAGAACTTTTTGAAGTAAATAGTAAATTTCCTATGAACTTATTTCCTCTCAAATCTAAGGCCGTAATCTATTTCCCACAGGATATATTGATTAGTCCTAGCTATGTAACTTAATGAAACTGATTTCTCCCCAGCTCTAGGCAGCGTGAAACAAAGAACAATCTAGAAACCCAAATGAAATCGAAAAGAGTTTAAAAATTAAGTATTGGCATACCCGAGGAGCTGCAGGTATCCGCCCAGGGCCTGTGAAACCTCAGGGACGGGACACAGTCTTTCTCCAGGTCCGGTCCTAGGATGCTCTCGATTGAGAAGGAGCAGGGGAGCGGTTTGCCCTCCCTAGGCTGGACGCCTTGCTGCAGGCAGGCAGACATCCTTCCCCGGGAGCTCGGGCAGGGCTCTGGCCTTCCCGCAGCCTCTGCCCCGCTCGCGCAGGGCTGGATCTTCCCGAGTTCACCTTATAGCTCTGCAGACAAGGGGGCTGGATTTAGAATGTCACTAATTAAAATCCTGTTTCAGAAAGTTTTAGCATGTCAATGAACACTCGCCCAGCCAGCAGCTTAAGGAGTTAATTGTTTATTTGTTTGCAAGTAATTAGCAACTAATGGCTACACCAGGGGGCCACCTACAGGGACACAAAGTGTTATCTCTTCTAAGCAGAACACAGACTTAACTTTCTCGGAAGAAGCGATGCAGGAACTGAGCCCTCCTTCTTTATTTGGGATCATTAATGTATAAAATCATGCTTTATATTCTGAAGTTTATACTTTCATGGACTCCAGGTTCCTAAACATACAGGGAAGAGAGGGGAGCAGTCAAGTAATACATAATCTAATTTAAGTAAAGTTTCTTACGAGGAAATTGGAAACAATAATAATCTCTTAATGCTATTATGATAATTCTGATGAAAACTCCTGTCTTTCAAATGCATATGCAATAGTGAATGCCGTCAATGGGAAGACGATTGTATTTGCAGTGCAGCACACCCGAAAAGGCTGGCAAGGTTATTAACACTGAGTGTAAGTGTCTTCCAAGTGCCCGGATCAACGCACAGGAACAGTTGCACCAAGTATTTTAAGTAATTATTGGGTTAATTCCTTTCCTTCATCTTTTCTTTTAAATGAGAGAGATGAATTTATATAAAGACTCACATGCAACTACCTCCAAGCAATTCCACGTATGACTATTCAAACTCGAGAGGAATTTCTCTAACCTTTTTATTTCAAAGAGAAGAGTCAACAGTATATGTGGCATTTTATTTTATTTTGTTGTGTTTTGTTTTTAGATGCTCAGAATAGAATATAGGGCCTTGAGCATGCTAGACAAGGTTCTACCTTGAGCCATGACTCCCGCGCTCAGTTCACTGTATTTGTTGTTGGTACAGAAGATTAATTCATAGTTTCATATTGAACTACACCTCCAGTCCAATTTTTTTTTTTTCTTTTTTGGTACCAGGGATTGAACTCACAACCTTGCGCTTGGCAGGCACGCACGTAAACCGCTGAGCTAAATCCCCGGCCCTCCCAGTCCATTTTTTATGTTTATTTTGAGACAGGGTTTTGCAAAGTTGCTAAACTGTGCAGGCTGGGCTCTTGAATTTGCAATCTTCCTGCCTCAGCCTCCCAGAGTGCCAACATGCACAGTTTAACTGTACTTTCTAAAGAAGAATTTCCCTCTGTTGCACTTTTCCTTTTATTTTGGTGTAGAGGATTCATCCTAGGCCCCAGCACGCTAAGCACATGACCTACCAATGACTCCTATCCCAGCATCCCTGTTTGATCTTTTGCAGAGTTGGGATGGGATGATTTCATGACGATGATTGAATTCATAAGAAAAATGAGTGAGAGTGGAGCATTTTAATTTCATAATCCTAAGAAAATTTGAAGTTAAGAAAGTATAACTGTTAGTTGGGAAGATTCTGAAGAGGCCGTTCTCCCACAAGTGTAATAGTTGTGGTTCCTGTGCTCTTTTCCCTTTCTTTCAGTACTTTCTTGAGCATAGATTAAGTGCTAAGTGTTCTTTGTCATTTAAATGAATTCTGGACTTCTCTGTAGGAAAGAGGAAAAGTTGTGCGTAGAGAAAATAGCCTCTACGGGTGGAGCTCAATTTCTTCAGGTTTTATCCTGATGACACCACATTTATTAAGCTAAATTCACCTTTACCCATGCTCTGGGGTGAACAAAGGATCTCAACCTTAAATGTGAGCAGGTCACAGAGGGGTTTATAAATTTACATGTGAAATCATTTTGCAGATGAACAAACAGATAGACATTCACATGTCAAGGAGACTGTATGCTGGGCCTTGGGATGCAGACTGCAATGTGGGGGTGACTTTTACCTGGGAAGGATGAGAGGATAAAGAAAGATGCTGGGCATTCCCTGATTTCCTTTTTCCTTTGGGACATTCATTCATTCACTTATTCCAAAATGGGTCAAGAACCCATTCAGTATCAGAAAAAATGAACAAGATTCTTGCCTTCATGAAGCTCACAAAGGTAACGGCAGAGTGCGGGGTACGTTTTGGGGTGTCAGACAGGCAACAAACAACAATTCTAGGTGAATTATCTAGCATGTTAGCTGAGGATTAGCATGTAAAAGAAAACCAGTGAGCCAGGCAAGATGGATCACCGGGAGGAGGCTTCGGGTGGCTGCCTGGGCAGCTCTCACTGAGACCCTCGCCCCACAGCCTGGTGCCTGAGGGATAAAGGAGCCACAGCAGGGGTGAAAGCCACTGGGGTTCACTGCATCTTCTTTGTTAACAAAGATAGTCCAATATTTTTATTCAGCTGGTTTTACTTGGATTTACTTAACACTATTTTATAAACAAATGAACAGCTGAAAATAAAAGGTAGGAGAGAATTTCTCAAAAATTATGGGGGGAATAGATTTATGTCTGAATGTATTTTTTGAGACAGGGCCTTGCTACGTCGTTCGGGCTGACCTTGAACTCACTTATGTAGCCCAGGCTGGCCTCAAATTCATGGCAATCCTTCTGCCTCAGCCTCTGGAGTGCTAGGATTATAGATGTGTGCCACTATGCCCAGTTTGGAGCAAATATTTTTGCATATGTTCACACAGTAGATTTTTGTGGGGTGCTTACTATGTGCTAGATTACAGTGTAGGTTTTGGATCAGTGATGAACAAAACATGGTAACTTCAGAGAATGATAAGCACAGGGACAGATGTAAGAGGTACGGGTAATACAGGCACTCCTTGTTCATTCCTGTGATAGGTTTTTACATAAATTGGACACTAAATGAGGAATTGTACATTACAATATTCAATTAGCAATTATCAAGCCTCAGATAAACATCATTGGCTACAATGCTGCCACTGTGCAAAGCTATAATATTCAGAACAAAGAGATGGTCAAAGGGAACTCCATCCTTTTTTTTTTTTTTTGTCTTTTTGAGACAGGATCTTGCTATGCAGTTCAGGCTGGCCTTGAGCTCACTTTATAGCTCAGGCTGGTCTCGAACTCGCAATGATCCTCCTGCCTCAGCTTCCTGAGTGCTGGGATTACAGGCGTGAGCCACCATGCCCAGCTGTGAGGGAACTCCATTTTGAGGACTCTGCTTTTATTTGCTCATCCCTTACATGCAGTACTGTAGTGTAAAACAGAACATGAAACTATAGTACAATGCCTTCGAGTTGTCTTAGCCATTTTTTGTGTTGCTGAGACAAAATACCCAACACCAGAGGTGAAGGGAGGAAAGGTTTCTTTAGCTCACAGTTTGTAAAAGGTTTCAGGCCACAGTTGGCTGCTCCAAGGCAGGGCAGCATGGCAGGGGGGCACAGGAGAGAAGAGAGAGTTCATGGCACAGCAGGGCAGGAAGAAGGCAGCAAATAGCAAGCAGCAGCTGGAGAAGCAAGAGCCTGCCCTTCCCTTGTATTTCTTCCACTTTTTATTTTACCATTCCCCTGATCCCAGCATCCCAGCATCATGTGCCCTGGATCCAGACACCTCTGAAAAACCCCACCTATGACCACATGAGGCAAGGGAACATCTAGATACAAGCCAAAACAGCAGTGCAATCAGCAAAAATTACAGTACTGTTACACTGTACAAAAAGATACTGAGCCTCTGTAAGCAAGATGTGCAGCACTACAAACATAAAGACACTCGAGCAGCATTTTAGTCATTGAATGCTTCTGAGTCCTCAGCAGCAGCATCATCAGAATTATGATCAGGCTGGGGAATTAGCTCAGGGGCTTAAGTGCCTGCTTTGCAAGTACACAGTTGAGAGTTCAATCCCAGGTACCAAAAAAAAAAAAAAAAAAAAAAGAATAATAATGAGGAGATCAAGGACCAGGAAAGAATTATAATGAGATCAAGGACCAGTAGCAATGGAAGAACTAGTGATCAGGCTCCGGGCATAGCTTTTGAGAAGCGTCCTGTTAGTGTGGTCTGTCATTTTCCTTTTTGCTTCATAAACTTGACAGTAGCATTGTAACTGTTCACTTATTCGCTGTCCGTTTAGACCCATAACCTATAGCTCTGACAAAGCTGTGTTCACTCTTGAGGACACACTGTGTAGATAGTATCTTGACCAAGAAATCTGGAGTTTTCATGCATAGAATCAAATACAGAAGTAGAAGAGGCCACCAAATTGTTTCCCTGAGCCAGATGTGGTGGTGTACTCCTGAAATCCCAGCACTTGGGAGGCTGAGGCAGATGGATCATTGGGAGCCTGAGACTGGCCTGAGCTACCCAGTGAGCACAAGGCCACCTGAACTGCACAGAGAGTCTCTGTCTCAAAGAGACACAAAGGCTGCCATGCTGCTCACATTTCTGTGTCCTTGAGTCTGAAGGCAAGTCCAAAGTCCAAGGGGCGCACATTGGTTACAAGTCTGAAGAGTCATTAAACTAAACGGGGAGATTATCCAATGAGGAAAGTCTGTACAACATAACAGGGAGGATGGCTTTTAGGAAGAGGTGCTGAGTAGTCAAGGAAGGCTTCTTCAGGAGGTGACAATTTAGCTGACGTGAGACTGGGAGGAGGCCAGGATGCCACGTCTTAGAAAAAGTGTTGCAGTCAGAGGAAGTAGCAAGTGCAAAGGTCTTGCCGGTGAAACACACTTGGATCATCTGAGGAAAACAAAGGAAGGGAGTGGAGCAGAGCTCCAGGTGCACCTGGAGAGCCAGGCTGGATGGGTGGATGACGGATGGGCTTCCTTCATAAAGGCCACAGCAAACACTTCCCGGACGAAGCAAGCCAGGTGCGTTTTGAGGTGGGACATACAGTACTGGACACTTTTTTTTTTGGAGACAGGGTCTTGCAGTGTGGTGTAGAGTGGCCTTGAACTTGCTTATGTAGCCCAGGTTAGCTCTGAACTCGCAGCAATCCTCCTGCCTCAGCCTCCCAAATGCTAGGATTATAGGCATGTCCCACCATGCCTGGCATTAGGACATGTTTTTAAAAGCTTACTCTGGGGCTGGGGTGGGTGGGCA